GGAATATGATGTTCTCCATCTTTTCCGGCAACGGAGTCTGGCCGCATGACCCACAAGAATCGCTTCCCACTATTCACCAAACCGTGCCAGAACTCCAAGAGCTGGTCTCTTGTCACCACCGCTATGCTTCCGAAGCTCACATAGAGCACAGATTTCATGGGCTGCTCGTCAAGCCACCTAACGCAGCTCCTATCTTCCTCCCACAAACTGTTCGAAGAGGTCGAGGAGGAAGTTGTTTTTCTGGCGAGGCTGGTCTTCAGTTGAGCATGGAGTGGCCCGATGGTGTAGAGTTTTGGACAAACAGAACGGATGTGAGAGAGAATTGATCCTTCAAGGTCTTCAAACGTGTTGAGTATGAGAGCTTGGGCTCGGGGGGTTCGCCTGGTTTCAGTAAGAACCATCTTGAAGTCATCGGATTCCAAGTCGCTGACGCGGCAAAAGCTCGGTAGATCACGCCGCCGGAGAAAGCCTTCCATGCCCTTCACATTCGCTATTCCTTCATCCATATTGTCTCCTACAATTTGTTTACAGTAAAAGTATTTACATTCTCCGAGAATCAAATTCTCAAACACAAAGTGCTTGCGTAAATGCCTCAATTAATGTGTCAACAAAAAAAAATAAAATACGCGAGACATCGGAGGATTAGAAAGCAAAGTAGCGAACTAATAGACAACCCACCATTGAAAGGAAGCTCGCCGGCTTCAATGAGTTCGGGGATGCAAAAATAAGCCCAAAACGAGCAAGCGCTCACCGTACGGAAAAATATGACTGGAATACCAATTTTTTCACCAACTTCAATTACTAGACTCAGAATACCGTCGGCTATAATGCACGTCACTGGCCAGCGGGCGTAGCTACTCAGACTATGTGAAACTATCAAGTCTATGAGAAATGGTTTCGCTATGGCTTTCGGAGATTCATACATCTGTATTAGCCCATCAGGGGTGAGTAAACTTCCTTCATAAAGGCCATCTGGAAGGTTTTGGAAACTGAATCCGGGATAGTGATTGAATCGGGGTTAGACATTGGTGTGAGTTAGGAGGCGGCCATGGATAGAAGCAGATACAAGGTAAGTGACATGGATGCCAGAAAGGCAGAGAAGCTCAATGCTCAGCAAGCTTGAGCATGGAGTTTACGTGGCCCTGTAGTGGGAAGGGAAGATGATAACGTGATGTTGATCCATCAATGAAGTGTTTCTGTTGGATCAAAGAGATAAAATGATCGATAGAAATTGTGCTCTTGATTGAATACTCTTTTATGAATAATTGAAAATGGTGATAAAAATTTACAAAATGACTCTATAACTTTTGCAGTTTATAGGACTATCCTATCATGTATCTAGACAAGTACACAAACCTAGACAATAAATAGGTTCATGAATAACTCTTAGACTCTATACATGAATGACCCTTGAGTGATATCCATGTATTACTTACATATATAAACCATGTGTGAAATAGATAGGTATGTTGTATTACTTAAAATTCCAATAGCCTCCCTTAAGCTAGGCAACTACCATATTTTGTTTGTAACATTTTACGACAAGACGGGCTTTGAACTTATCAATGTCTCCCTTTTCATTCAATTTTGTCTTGTACACCCACTTTACATCAATTGCCTTTTTTCCTATTTAGAATATCCACAAGCTCCCATTTGAGATTTTTATGTATCGAATTAATTTCTTGATCCATAGCTAGCCTCCACTTCTCTTCTTTAGAAGCTTCCTCAAAAATGATTGGGTCAACATCGGCAAACAAAGCAAAATTAGCCAAGTCGTCTTCTAACATTTTGCTGGTACATTCATAAAGTTCTCTTATACTTCTTGTCTTTTCGGGGGTAACACTTATACTTGAACTTGAAGATGATGATGACAGAGAAGAATGCAACTGAGTAGGAAGTGGAGAAGTTGGAGGAGTACTAACTTCTTCATTCCCTTCAATCTCAACATTTTGGTCATTGGATTCTTCTTCCAATTGAACACAACTTGAATTTCCAGACTCATCATTTTAATTCCAATTCCAAGATACATTATCATCAAATTTTGCATCTTTGCTGACAATAAGTTTCTTGGTGATTGGATTATACAACTTGTATGCCTTAGAAATTTCACTATACCCAACAAAGAAACATTTTTCAGATTTGTCATCCAATTTTTTCCTCTTTTCATCTGGCACATGTGAATATGCAACACTTCTGAAAATTCTCAAGTGCCCAACACTTAGTTTGTGTCCACTCCAAGCTTCATGAAGAGTCATATTTGCCACACTTTTGAATGAGGTATGGTTCAAAAGATAAACAACACATCCCACAGCTTCAGCCTAAAAAGAGTAAGAACTCTCTTTGCTTTTGACATACTTCTAGCCAACTCCATAATAGTTCGACTTTTTCTTTCGAAAATCCCATTTTGCTGAGAAGTGTACCGAATAGTAAACTGATGTTGGATGCCATTGTCTTTAAGAAAATTTTCAAATTCTCCATCTTTGTATTCACCACCCTCAATCAGTACGTAAAAATTTTACCATAAAACCACTTTGTTTTTCAACCAAAGACTTAAATCTTTTGAAACATCCAAATTCTTAAGATTTTTTTTAAGAAAATAAACCAAGTTTTTCTGTTGTAATTGTCTATAAAGGTGAGAAAATAACGATTACCTCCAACTGAAGTGACATTCATTGGCCCGCAAATATCTGAATGTATCAACTCAAGTGGTTTTGTTACTCTTCTTGCTTTTCCAATCGGGGAGGAATCTATGTGATGTTTTCCAAGAACCTTCACAAACTTTCTCTTGTAGATCAGCATCAGGCATCCCATTCACAATATTCTTCTTGCTCATTACAGAGAGAGTTTTGAAACTCAAATGCCCAAAACGAAAATGCCACAAATAAGATTTTTCCTTAATAAAAGTGTTGAAACAAGAACCAAACTGATTTTGGAACTTCAATGAAAACATCTTGTTTTGAGTCATGCTCACCTTAGTAACGAGAACACCATTCTTGTCTTTGATCTCACACATGTCCTCCTTGAAGTTCACTTCATTACCCTTCAATAAAAGTTGTCCAACACTCAAGAGATTGTGCTTGAGACCTGGAACATAATGGACATCAGAAATATGCTTTACCCCTTTGTTTGTGTGAACAAGGATAACGCCACTACCCTTTCCGGAGAGCCTCTTATCATCACTGGTTCTAATTTTCCTTGAGTAGATTGATTCAGCTCCACAAATGCCTTCTTATTTCTTGTCGTATGATTGTTACACCCACTGTCAACATACCATACTTCATCAAAATGAGCCTCATGTTCATGGTATGTGAGAAACAAAGAATTAGCTTCTTTTTTTCGATCTTTCTCATGCATAAAGCTAGAATTGTTCTTCTCTTAATCCGCAATTCTTTTCCTACAATATTTCTTGACATGCCCAAAATTTCACAGTAACGACATTGGGTATTCTTTAAAGAAGACCATCCTTTCTCTCTTTTCTATTTGAATTAGACAAGTGACTTTTATTCTTTTCGCCTTCTTGTTGCCTTACACCATGATCTCTTCCACCATTGTTTGATTGATTTTCATTATTTCTTCCTCTTCCATGAGAAGAGCCATGTCCTCTACTACCTCTGAAACCTCCCCTTCGAGAAGCTTGTGTATGGAAAGCCTGCTTAAAAGGAGAATAATCATATTGTGTCATCTGAAGTTCATGGGATTGTAGTGATCCCATTAAACTCTCCACAGACAAAGTAGACACGTCTTTTGACTCTTCGATCGCAGCAACAATTCCTTCAAATTTATGGGTTAAGCTACGTAGTATTTTCTTCATTACTCTATGATCCTCTGTCATTTCACCATTCAATCTCAATTGGTTGGCATCATAAATTACCCGATAAAAATAATCTTCAATGCTTTCAGACTCCTTCATCTTTAGTGAATCAAACTCAAATCTAAGAGATTGAAGTCGTACCATCTTCACTTTGTCATCACCTTTGTATGAAGCAAAAAGTATATCTCAAGCTTTCTTTGACGTAGTTGCTACTGTAATTCGTTGGAAAACAGTTTCAGTCACTGTTTGATAAATCATAATTAAGGTCCTCTTGTCCATCCTACGATTTGCACTCAACTCGGTTGTTTGAGCTGCAGTAAGAGTTGCTCCTTCTACTAGTTCTTCATACCTATTCTCTACAGTATCCCATAATTCTTGAGTTCCAAGTAAGACCTTCATTTGAATACTCCAGTAGTTATAATTCTTCCCATCGAGGCAAGGAAATTGGGAAATCAAAGTATTGTTGTTAGTAGCCATGATTTTTCATCCCAATGGCTTTGATACCAATTTGTTGGATCAAAGAGATAAAATGATCAAGAGAAATGGTGCTCTTGATTGAATACTCTCTTATAAATAACTGAAAATGATGATAAAAACTTACAAAATGACTCAAACACTTATGTAATTTATAGGACTATCCTACCATGTATCTAGACAAATACACAAACTTAGACAATAAATAGATTCATAAACAACTCTTAAACTCCACACATGAATGACCCTTGAGTGATATCCATGTATCACTTACATACATGAACTATGTGTAAAATAGATAGGTACGTTGTATTGCTTAGAATTTCAACCGTTTCAATCGAGAGTTGAATCGTTGATTTCAGGCTTCAGCTCAACCTAGCCTTGGTGTCCTACCTATAAATCTAGGATTTCTAGTGAACAAAGGAATTAGATGATGATCCAAATTTTGATGGGTAAATTATATTTGGACCTCTAAGGTTTGTGATTTAATTATTTATATTTTTTGATATTAAAAATATTATACATAAGTATTTTAAAGTTTATACACGTGTAACATTTAGATCTCTATCGTCAGTGTTCAATAATATATCCGTTTGAATTTAAGATGTTGATTCTCATGAGTAAATTACACTCGAATTCTTTAAAATTTGTTATTTAATTACATAGATCTCGTCACATTTAAAATATTACATTTAAATTCAAATTGTCTATGTGATTAAGTGACGAACTTTAGAAAATTTAATTGAAGGTCTCAAATTTTTCTCCAAATAAATCACCACTCCTTCTAAGTAACTTCTTCATTTCCAATTATATTTTTTCTTTGTTAATGGTGCATGAATCATAGTTATCAGATCTAAGCCAAATGTCGAGCTGTCAAAAAGATTGAGCCAATAGTTTATTAGTTCAACCGTTAAGACAACTGATTAGACTGATCATATAATAAAAAAATAAAAAAATATGTTCAAAATGCGTATAATTTTTTATAAAATTAATGAAGTTAAATTACAAAAAAGCAATATGTGTCAAAAAAAATTCCACTAAATACATGTGTCAAAGTTGATGACCCATTTGACATCAAAACGGCATATTTCAAAGAATCTAAAATGCAAAACCATTTGCGGAGTGGAAAAACCCGGGCACAGCTCCTCTGCTGTTGAAGGCTAACAGCACACAATGCTGTTTAATGCAACGGCACCGTTTTTGGCGTGGATCCCCCCAACAGACTGCCCTCCAACTTATGCACCGCAACATTTGTGTTGTCAGGTAGTCATTTCTTTTTGTTTTTTGGAGTGGGTACTTTAATGATAAGGTTTAATTTTTGTCTACTAATTTATAAAAATAAAATAATATTATTATATCTATTACATCAAAATTGATATAAAACAATTCCTTGAACACAAAAAAATTAAAATCAATAATATATTTTTCTCTATATGTAATCATGTTATCAATCATTCATTGATATCCATTTTATTATGTAATTGAATTCTCACGATATTCATTTTTAATTTATTTAACAACAACATGTAAGTTGAGAAAAAAATAAAAAATTATATTATTATATCTATTACATTATACTTGATATATAAAAATTCATTAAACAAAAAAAAATCAATGATATATTTTTTTCTATATGTAATCAAGTTATCAATTATTTATTGACCAGTCATAACCCATGTTTAAAGATACGATGAAATATAAAATTCCGCACCCAAAAAAATCTATTCTACTATATTAAATAATAATTTTTCAAAATACGTAATTTGATAAATTTTTCTCAACATATGTATATTATCGTGTATGAATAATATTTGAAATAAAAATTATATTAAATTATAAATTAATCAAATATTAAAATAATTAGACATGTAATAGAAATGAGTGATGTGATTTTTTAGAGAAAAATATGTAGAAAATAAAATTTAACTTGTGAACTATCTTATTATACAGATATTCATTACGTTAAGAATAATATGTAAGTTGAGAAAAAAAAAATAAAAATTAAACCTTGTCGTTAAAGTACGCACTCAAAAAAAAAACAATAATAAGAAGCAAAAACAATAGGATTTTGGCATTTTGCTGGTAAATGATTCAAAAGTTGCATTCAAAAGTTTCAGTGCAAAAGTTGGAGGGGATTTTGTTGGGGGTCCCCGCCAAAAACGGTGTCGTTGCATTAAGCAGCACCTTGTGCTGTTAGCCTTCGACAGCAGAGGAGCCATGCCCGAAAAACCTACTCAAGGCTTTAACTTTTTTAGTACTTTTCGGAGAGAGAATGATTTATGGAAGGAGATAGAGATGAGATCTAGAAAGATGATCGAAGCAAGAAGAAAGGAGGACCGGAGGAGGCTCACAGGAAAGCAGAGAGACAACATGAGAGAAATCCAGTGGAGATGAGAAGGATCGGACGCCGGAGAGAGATCCGTCACCTGAGTCACCGTCGCCTAAGCAAGATCGAAGTGTTCAAATGGCCTTTAGGACAAAATTTTCCCAATTATTTTTTTAAATATTAACTATAACTCTAATCCGCCAGTTTTCTTAAATTGTCTGGTTCACAAATTCTACATAAAATTGGTCAATTTAATAGTTTAAAGGCAATTTAATTGCATAAACGGTCTAACTAAAGAACTAGACAAGCTTAGGATTTGATTCACGGATCGAAATGGTCTAATTCTAATAACACAGCATAGAACCTAGGTTATGTGATTTATTATTTAGAAGTAAAATGGGTCAAATTAACTCTTTTACCACATTGCTTGAGACAGAGGTGTAATAAACTGTGTTTCGTATAGTAGATGGTTTTCTTTTTAGAGTAATCTACAAATATCTAAAAAATTTATTTAATCAATTATTATTATTGATTTAATTATAAATATGATTCACCACGCCAACAAATCACGTGAGATTGTCGAGTACAAATAGCATTCTTTTTTAAGAAGAGAACATTACTTGAGAGTGGTGGATTAACAGAGAGCAAAACAATATTATTAATAGACAACGCACCGTTGAAGGGAAGCTCTCCGGCTTCAATTAGTTCCGGGATGCAAAAATAAGCCCAAAAGGCACAAGCACTGATTGTACGGAAAAATATGACCGGAATACCAATTTCTTCACCAACTTCAATTGCTAGACTAAGAACACCGTCCGCTATAACGCAAGTCACCGGCCGTCGGGCGTTGGTAATCGGACGACCCGAAACCATCAACTCTCTGAGAAATGACTTCGCTATAGCTTTCAAAGATTCATACAACTTGAACACACCATCATGGGTATGTACAGTTCCTTCGTAAAGTCCGTAAGGAAGGGTTTGAAAACAGAACCCGGGATAGTGATTGAAGCGGGATTGGACATTGGTGTGAGTTAGGAGGCGGCAATGGATAGACGCAGAGACAAGGTAAGTGACATGGATGCCAGAGAGACAGAGAAGCTCAGCCAGCTTGAGCATGGAGTTTACGTGGCCTTGTGCCGGGAAGGGGAAGATGAGAACATGAGGTGCCAGCTCTGGCTGATCCATCAATGGAGTTTTTCTTTCTCCAAATTTTCTCACACTAGTTGCTGGCTATGGTACTGTTAAACAGACTTCAGCTGAACTTATTATAAAGAGTAACGCTACATTGATCAAATTTTAAGAACAAATTTAAAATTCAAATAAAAAAATGTCATGTGTGCCAAAATTGGATCGTTCAGTGATTCAATGATTAGTGATTAATTTAGTGCAAATTTTAATGCCCATAAAATAATTCTATGCAGATAGGATGCGTTCGGTGACGTTGGCAGGTTCAACGTCTCAGTATATGGAGGAGCTGTACAAATAAGTTTTGCTTTTACATATACAAAGGGAACAAAATTATATAAGGGAAGTTCCTAGGGTGATTGGAAATAGGCTTAAAGATATCATATTTTGAAATTAAGTTTGATTCTCGTAAGAGTTGTGATTTATCTTACCAGAATATGTTGTAATTATTGAATTATTTTGAAGTTTGATATTAGATGAAGTTTAATTTTAATTTAATGATTACAAATGATTCGATTTCTAGATTTAAAAAGAAAAAAGAAAAAAAAGAGATGTGCCAAAGATGAATAACGTAAAATTAGAGTTAAAAGATATAGTAAAACTACCAAATTAATCACGCAGTCCAACATATCGATGATATATTGAATGTAATAGCTAAGTATTACAAGGTGTCTTCCAGCGATAGTAATCTCTAACATTTAATAAACAAGCCAAACATATCTCGTATGCACTAGAAGCAACTAACTTTTTCTGTGGAGTGCAAAACCAGTCAAATAGTCAATAAAGAAATACAATAATTGTACACATGATACAAACATTTGTACTACTTGTCTAATAGGACAGCTAAGTCCTACCCATTCACCGTGAATTCAAGAAAGATAATGCTATATTTAATAATTATAATTATTAAATTTATCATTTATTAAAACTCATTATTTATTTATTTATAATTTTATTTTTAAAAAAATTATTAAAATTCGAAGTCAAAAATTTGAACTAACTGTTGAAATTACTTCACCAAAGCCAAACATGAGTTATTTTTCCGGGTCAAAAATTATGGTTTACCCGTCTCTCTAGGAGATTGATTTATTGGTGCTCCCTAATATTATTCTAATAAACATATTAATTTCATATCACATTTTCTTTATGGAGATTACAATGATTGTGTAGAAAAATGAAAACCATAACGACAGCTGTCAGAATTAATAACAGACGTGATATGACTAACAATCTATGTTACAACAAAAAATATTACGTCATGCATGAAGTTTTATATATTAAATTATTATATCTTATTTTTCAAATTAAGTAGCTAGTATTTTTTTATCAAGAAAATTTGAAGCTATATGTCCAGAATATTTGACTGAGTGGCAGACAATGTCCTATCAACCACCCAACACTATAAAACACTTTGCATTTTGTCTTGCTCTACCTGTCTACATTTTTCATTCTAGAAATCTAATGTACATAAAATTTGGAGCTAATCTCACTTTGTATCATCAAATATATCTTGATTATTAATTTGGATCATCAGATATTAAAAATTTTAATTTGCATCCTAAAATTGTAAAATTTTTTATTTGTATCCGCAATGTTATGAAGTGATAGTAATATAAACATGACACAAACTGACATTCAATTTTTCGTTAGAAATTAATATGCATAAGGTACAAGTGCTTCCGGTATGAGAATGAAATATGTCCATCGCTGCAAATCTTTGTGTGCGATTAATTTGACACCGTTTTATTTTGTGTATCAAAAGTAAGTTTTTATTCATCAGATAGAAACTAACTCAATCATGTGCAACTCACATAAGCCGTCAATAATTTATGAATTTACACATAAGTTCATGTGTGAAGTGCTTGCAATTCACATGTTTCAATTTATCACGAAAATTTGATCAATAATTTGAGTCAGATTCATATTTCTACCAATTCTTAATATTAAATGTGTAAATTATGATTTTTAATATTTGAAGATATAAATTGAGAATTGAAACATTTTCATGATTGTAAAATGAGATTAGCCTTAAACTTTGTGCATAATATGATTGTGATTGTCAACTGTTGAAATAAAGGGCCTCTTGTTACCCAATAACCCATAATTATTTGGGTTTTTTGGATATTGATACATTTTTTTAGACATATTTGAGAAAAAGTGTATAAATAAGTATTTTAATCTATTAAGTTCAATTTTAATAAAATGTATTGTGATTAGGTACAAAATTTAAATGACATTTGAATTTTTTTACTTACTTATCATTTATTAAATTTTGCATAATTTTTATTATTTAACTCTCTCCCTCCCATATTTTCTTTCCATCTCTCTCCTTTTTTTTCTCTCTCTCTCTTTCTCCAATTGATAATTTTTTTTTTCAAATATGTAAAAACTTAACTTGATTTGTTATATCTCTCTCTCCTATTTTCTCTCATTATTACTCTCTCTTTATATCAACATTACAACAACAAAATTATACTAATCCGTTGCAATTTTCCTATAATACACCAAATAATTACTCATGTATTCTAATAAACCAAATAATTACACTAAATAATTACACAAAATTATGACATCAACCCAATTTGTTATTCAGTTATTTATATAAATTAAAGAGTTGCACCATTTGGTATCATGATATAGTTACACAAATTATATACACAAAATTTAGTATAATGATAAACTCTTTTGTGTAATGATAAACTCAATTTAATGTATATAATTAGTGTAACCATATTATAATCCTAAATGGTATAACTCTTTGATTTATATAAACAATTGAATAGCAAAATTGGGTTGATGTTGTAATTTTGTGTACTTATTTAGTGTAATTTTTGATTTATTAGAATACATGAGTAACTATTTTGTGTATTATAGGGTAATTGTAAATAATTTGTGTAATTGATTGGTGTAACTATGTTGTTATAACGTTGATATAAGGAGAGAGAGATAAAAATTGAGAAAAATAGTAATTGTGAGAGAAAATAGAGGGAGAGAGAAAAAAAATAGGAGAGAGATGAAAAGTTAAATCAAATATTTACATACCTAAAAAAAATAAATTATCAAATGTGTGTGTATGTGTGTGAGAGAGAGATAAATAGAAAGAAAATAGAGAAGAGAGAGTGAGAGTAAGGGAGACATAGAGACAGAGATAAAGAGAGAGAGAGTAACGAAGTAATAAATGATTTTTAGTTTTTTTTGTTTAAAAATACACTTATGACCAAATAAATTTTTTTTAATATAATTTAGTTCAATTAAGTCTAAATTTTTATATTGACTTTCAAATTTCCCTAATTATTTAATGCATAAAACTAGTGCTCGTAACATTACTCTATCTATTATCTACTTGGATTTGCAAAAAACATATCAAAGGTTCTAGCTTTAGAACCACCTCTCTGTCAATTCATTGAATCACACTACACAAACAATCTATGGTACGGAGTTTTAAAGGTTTTATAACGATTATTTTGTTTATCTTTATTATTGATGATACTTAAAGCAATTTTCAAGTATGAGCTTAGAAACGGAGGTCAGACGCACAAAACATAAAATCAGAGTAAAGTCCAACTCAATCGAAATAGCAGCAATAGTAATAAAGAGATAGTATTTGTCAACAGAAATCCTAGAGGCAGCAAAGAGTCAAAATCGAAGCATAAAACTCTCATCCAGGAAAGATCTCCTCCTAAGATCAAGGAGGATTCCTCGAATAAATAGCGAATATCTCGGGGCGGATCCCATAGAATTAGGAAAAGCCCTATAAATACTATGTAACGCCCCCAACAGAGGGACAAAACCCTAGTATCACATCTTACATTTTGTAAACCTTTTGGTATAGTAAATAGTGAAGGAAGGAGTCAAGAATCTCCGTTGAAGAGTGGATTAGCCGAGCTCCCGAGTTGGTAAACCACTATATTTCACTGTGCTAATTCTCCAACTCCCCAACAATTCTCAGTATCATTCCTTTGAGTCTAATAGCTTAGATCCCGAGAACCTTAAGCACCATTCCCCGGAGCCAAGTGGCTCAGACGTTAACAATCAGAATATTGCTTATTCCATTGACTCATTACCACAAAACTATTTCACCATTGATTTCACCATCAGTTGGTGCCGTCTATGGGAAGAATTGATCCTATTATAAACAAACTGATCTTTCAGTAACTGATGGTATCAACGCGAAACATGAATCGAAGTCAAACAAATTCACCACTGGCGCAAGATCAACAAGAAGTTGCCAATAGCAGACAACCCGAGAGCGTCCAAGAGACCAATCTCCCAGTGGGGGGTCTCCCCACGAATAACGAGATGGAGGCTCTTTGTCTCTCCAATCAATGCTTGCTGAAACAAAAAGAAGAACTTTTAAAGCTCTTACAATGCCCATAGGAGGCACGACAGGTTCAAGAAGGCCAGAACAACCTCCCACCTAGGGAGCAACCACACCTCGACCCCCCTCAGAGAAGTTAATGAATAAGGAAAAAATAGCCAAACCATGGGGTCAGAACCTCGCATACCCCCCAAGAATGGCCACAACGACGAAGGACAGAGTCAGAACGAAGGAGGTGAGAGAAACGATTTTTTTCCCTATCAACAGGAAAGGAGAGAACAATATTGGGAGCAACACTTCCAGGGTATCCAGTAAGAGCTCAGCCACATAAAAGAAGTCGTGAGAGGCAGGGCTCCATTTACCATGGATGCCTTGGTACATCAGACTGAATCCTCATTCACCACTGGGGTGTTGCATTTTTTCCTCCCTATGAAATTCAGAATACCACAAATAGACGCTTTCGATGGAACAAAGGATCTCGTAGATCACCTCAACACCTACAAGAATCAGATGGAGTTGCATGGATACCAGGATCCAGTGCGCTGCAGAGCTTTTGCCATCACGTTGAAGGGCTCAGCCCTAGCATGGTTTAATAGGCTCTTCGTAACCTCGATATCCTCTTTTAAGGAGCTATCCATATCCTTTGTGTCTCACTTTATAGGAGCTCGAACGTACAGAAAGT